TTCCAGTCCTAAGCGACAGGATTTGAATCACAGCAGACTCACCTACACCTGAACATGTGACCTGTGTGTTGACAGGAAGTCCGAGCAGAGCGTCTCACAGCTCCAGTGAGAGTCTGAGCATCTCGTCCAGGTTCCTCACCCAAAGCACAGCCACAAGGTAGGATTACCGTCACACACAGGTCCATTTAAACCAAACTTTATTGAAAAACGATAACAGCTTCCTGAATGCAGACGTGCAGCTCAGCTATGGGACAGGAGAATACTTGTTGTAGACACAGTGTGGCCTGAACACTGACTCTGTGGGGTCTCCACGCACACGTGTGGTGGATCACTCAGACCTTTTCTTTTCTCTCGCTCTCTCAGCCGGACCGTGCTTCCTCTCCCATCTCGGACCTCGGGGGCTGGTGCGGGGGAGCCAAAGACTCGTCCGCTGGTCTCCGAGGTCCGACCTCTGATGGAAGAGAGCCAGAGGCAGGACGGGAAGGTGCCGTGGACCCAGGACCAAACCCAAAAACAGAACCAGGCTCAGGCCACCTCATTTCAGGACCAAGCCCAGCCTCCCCATGGTTCAAACCAGCTCCGCATCCTAGAGGAGGAGACCCCCTCGACCCAGCAGGTCCACCGACCCTCCCCGCTCAAGAAGAAGGCCCAAACTGCAGTGGAGTGCAGGAGGAACCAGGGACCGACAGCCCGGGCTGCTGCCTCCCATCTGAACTCTGCTGGACTTCGAAAGGCTCAGTCAGTCCACAGCCTGCTGACTGACACAGGTAACACTCAGCTCACCACACAAGTAAACAGCACAAGAACCAAAAGAGACTGTGGACCCCCAAGCAGCTGCATACACTGTACACCTGAGTATGAGCGCTCACCTGGACATAAAGAAGCTAAATTAAAGCTAGCAGGCTAACCAAACCCACGTTGGCTGTGACTGTAGAAAGTAAATGTTACGTCTTTGGTTTGAGCCAGTAAAACCAACGCTGTTTGATATAAGTTAGCACTGTGGCTCTGTTAACTTCATTTATGCCACATGTGTCAAAGTCAAGGCCCGCGGGCCACATCACATCCGCGAGATCATTTTATACAGAGTTATTATTATTGTTATGCATGGCCCGGCGATATGAGGCGCTAATAATATACAAACTACAGATCCCATAATGCAGCGCTGCAGCCTCCTTGGCTAGGCTAACTGGGAACATTCCC